TTCAAGTTTCCTTGCCATTTTTATTGTCGTCTTATGTCGTCTCGGCGCGATAAATTCGCAGCCTCTAATTCTTGCACTCTTCATATTTGGAGACTCAGTCGTTGATGTGGAAAATAATTGAAACAATTGTCGAAGGAAATTTCCCACCTTATGGAAGAGACTTTGTCCATCACAAGCCAGCTCCCACGGCACGGGGAATTAGCCTCCCTCTTTCGCTTCACATTTTTGAACTTGAACTTGGACCTTTAAGCTTGTTTGATTTCTTTCCAAAACTGTTGGGGGGGGGGTGTAGATGGGATTTAGAATATGAATTTCAGATTTTCATCATCGTTTCTATGATACAAGCAACAATCATTCAAATAAACAAGATGTAGTTGACAAAGACTTAAAAACACACAAGGCATATGCAAAAAAGAGGGAGGATCCAAAACTGCAGAATAACATGACCAACTTAATAAATCAGAGATATAGGCATTCATCAAAACGGTAAAGATATCCAATACTTCAAACCTACGATCATTCTTACAAAATCTTCTAGACAAAAGTAACCATTATAGGCACACAAGAATCATAATCTGGAAAGACAAGGGAACATAATACACAATTCATGTGATTTTTCCAATTCCGAGCCGGTGTCCGACACAATACACGTTCAAAATCTGTGTCGCTGCCTTATTTACCTTCTATTTCCTATTATTTGCATTGCCTCACTGCCTCATGGCGAAGTGAGGTTAATGAAATCTACTGCATCACGAATAACAACCTCTTCAGTGGGGCGATTGGTACGTTTGTATCCTTTACATTTTCCGTATAATCCGTTACAAAACCGAACCACTTACCCGAATATTCTCTTTGTGATTCTAGTATCAATAGTAAGTAAGAAGTCCTGGAACCTTAAACCATGAAAATTTCAAGTTTCCTTGCCATTTTTATTGTCGTTTTATGTCGTCTCGGCGCGATAAATTCGCAGCCTCTAATTCCTGCACTCTTCATATTTGGAGACTCCGTCGTTGATGTGGGGAATAATTGAAACAATTGTCAAAGCAAATTTCCCACCTTACGGAAGAGACTGTGTCAATCACAAGCCAACTCCCACGGCACGGGGAATTAGCGTCCCTCTTTCGCTTCACATTTTTGAACTTGAACTTGGACCTTTAAGCTTGTTTGATTTCTTTCTAAAACTGTGGGGGGTGTAGATGCGATTGAGAATATGAATTTCAGATTTTCATCATCGTTTCTATGATACAAGCAACAATCATTCAAATAAACAAGATGTAGTTGACAAAGACTTAAAAACACACAAGGCATGGGCAAAAAAGAGGGAGGATCCAAAACTGCAGAATAACGTGACCAACTTAATCAATCCGAGATATAGGCATTCATCAAAACGGTAAAGATAACCAATACTTCAAACCTACGATCATTCTTTCAAAATCTTCTAGACAAAAGTGACAGGTATAGGCACACAAAAATCAGAATCTGAAAATCCAACAATTCATGTGATTTTTCCAATTTCAAGCCGGTGTCCGACACAATACACGTTCAAAATCTGTGTCGCTACCTTATTTACCTTCTATTTCCTATTATTTGCATTGCCTCACTGCCTCATGGCGAAGTGAGGTTAATGA